CAAATATATATCGTGATAAATATTTTTGGCCATATCGCCCTGCTCTATGTGTGACGTCTTCTTTTGCACATGCAGATCACTTTGAGGGTTCACACTAGAGCGCATTTGCTGTCACATTTTATATGTAGTGTGAACAAGAAGACAAAAAATTGGATTTGATCAAAAAATCGGAATTGAGCATTAAGACCTGCAGATCTCTAGGAACTCTCAGGTTGCTGATGTGTTGTCAATCTAATAAGCTGTAATCATTGATTTCTGTTTTTGTTTACTTATTTTATTGAGTGTCTGATTTAGGGGGGAAATGGTTGTAGTTCCAGGCTTGGCTATTTAGCATCAGAAAATAAAAGGAAAAAATAAATCCCAATAAAATAAACATTTAGACAATTGTCTACTTTTGGTGCACGTTTACTGAAAGGTGTGTGTGGGACCTTGGGAAGTTAGGAATAGCATTTTGGATTCTCAGCAAAGTTATTTTAGATTTAAGAAGCCAAAACTTACTTTTGTGTTTGAAGTTTCTGAGCCTTTTTTAAATATGTGGCTCTCACTTGTCCCTTCTTCAATCTGGCAATCTGCTTCTGACTCATCTGAGGTACAGTCTCCATCTTCAGCTGCTTCATCAGTTGAGCTATTAGCTGAAGCCTCAAGTCTGGTACCTGCCACATGAATCTGGTTTGTGTCAGTGATGTCTTCTTCTTCCTCTTCTTTTGATCCGTTTTCAAAACAGTCTGATGTAAAATCGTTGTTGGCTTCACCCAGCCCCAGATGTTGCTCCAAACTTATGTCACACTCAATATGCTCTTCTTTAACACAGACTGGTGTAATGAAGTTGTCAGCTTCAGTCAGCACTTGTCGCTGATCCCAACTTAAGTCATATTCTATTTTCCCTGCTTTAGCTATCGTAGTGAGGCCCTCTGATATTTCAAGGTCCACCCCGGTGTTAGGCTCTGAGGGCTGTTCTCCAGCGTAGTTATTAACATCTGTCATAGGAAATAGAAAAAAAAAAACATTACTGAATACATTACATAGTAATCATATATGTTTTGCTTTAGTTTGAGTCATGGTACTTGCCCCTTAACCTGAGATTCTTTTAACATGTCAACGTGGACATGTCAGTGAACACATAAGACATGGAAACAGTTTATCTCAACTATCCTTAGACTCTTACCATGTTGGGGGGGGGGGGATCAATAGTCACCATGCAGAACAGCTGTTATTGAGTTATTCACAATCACCAGCCACTCAGTTAGGTACACCTAATCAAAAGCTCACCAAACACAAGAGTGTCGGTATGCAGAAGAGTGTCTGTAAGCGCACAAGACATCAAACCCTGAAGCAGCTGGACTAAAGCAGCAGAAGACCACACTAGATGCAACTCTAATCAGTCAATAATAGGAAACTGAGGCTAGCCAACAGTGGACAACAGAAGACTGGAAAAATTTATTTTTCTGTTCCAACATCCAAATCATGCTTTGTACTAGGGCTGCCACGATTAGTCAACTAGTCATTTCAGAGACATCAGTTCCCCACCAGCTCGATAGCTGGAGGGGGGGTTCAAGGCTCACTAGAGCCGGTGAGAAAACCGGACATCCGGCAAATCGTTTTCAAACTCACCGCCATCTTTCGCTACTCAGGTTAAACATGATATATAAGTCACTTAGATAACTTAAAAATGTTATTGTTTGGCTTTTTTCAGTATTTATTTGTTCCTCTTCCTACTTTGTACCAATGATTCAGGCTGCTGGTTGTGGTGTAACCGTGTGGGGATGTAACGGTTTCATGGCGCAGTTTTAGACATCTTAGTACTAAAACACAAATGATCTCAAACTAGTTTCTTGAACATCACAATTGCTTTACTCCACTCAAACGGCCTTTTAAGTCACTACATCTCAGTCGAGCAGAGCAGTTTTGAGATGCGGTGGAAGGGGGAACGTGGATGTGCAGCAGACAAACAACAGCACCTGTGTGATGCTATCGTATTTTTGTGGATCAATATCTCCAGCACTTGACTGAATTCGTGCCATGAAGAATTAAAGCAGTTCTGTTAAGGTTAAATGGGGTCCTACCTGGTACTGGTCATTTTGTATGTGTTAGACTGATGGGTTACTACCTATGAAACATGTCCGCAGTAGTTTAGTGGTAAAGGCCAATCGAGGTAAAGTTAATTTTAACAGCTTTATAATGTGAGGGGGCCCTTTAGTATTAGTCTTAACTAACTAAAGCATTAAATTACGCAACCATCACACACACGTCCTACAGTATTTACACACGGTGTCGCATTAAGCTTGCAATGCTTTAATTTAACAATTCCTCTTCAAGTGTAGCTAATACAGGTCAGTCAACTGGAAACGCAAGGATCCAAAAGCAACAAACCTATCCTGTGTAACTTTATCTCGGGGTTGAGGACCATGTGCAGAATGTCCCGCAGGCGCTTGTTTTCCTCACAGCACTCCACGACGATACTTTCAACTTCACCAAACACCTCCATGGCCACGGCGGTGAGGCGTTCAGTCAAAAAGCTCCGAAAGCCCTGGAGTCTAACGCTCGACATTTTGAACTATTATTATCTACACAACGCCTGAGTTCATTCGCGTGAACACGCTCAAACAAAAGAAAACAAACGGAATTTCACAAAGGCGACTTCCTGTAGGAAAAGTCTTCTTCGGTGGATTTCGTGGGTTACATTAGCGCCCTCTTCTGACAGCGCGCAATCTACAAGGAGTATTAGAAGTACAGATTATAAAGACTAAAGAGGAAATAAAATTTTGAGATTACGGTCGAAATTTTAAGATTAAAGTCGAAATAATATTTTGAAAAAAAGTTGCCATTTTGAGATTACAGTCGAAATGTTATTTTAAGAAATTTTAAGATTGAAGTCAAAATAATAATTTGAGAAAAAAAGTTGAAATGTTTCGGTTTTTGACAATGACAATGACAATGACACGCCTTGTGGAACTAGGTGTTCTTCAATGGGCTAAATGTTCTAAAGGGTTTTCCTTATATAAAGCTCAGTGCATTCCTTCTTTTTAAGAGTGTTGCCAGATTGTTGATTTTGTCACTCCAAAAAAAATGTATGCTTTGTCTGTGATCAGTTTATTTTGGCCCTAATGATGACATCCCATTACTTACATAAACATATCTGTAGACGACATACTGACAGTTCCAGTGAAAAGATCGAAATGCAAGTCCAGCACTTGGAATCGACCCCTGAGCTTTTATCTGTTATGTTTCTCACTAAATAATGAAGCCTCGCTTTTATGAAACTGTTTGTCAGTATTGATCGATTAGTTTAGGGCCTTCGAGTTTCCATGCATATTTTCCAAAGCAGAGAATTTGTTAAAATGTAGGAGACCTTTAAAGCAGGCCTGCTTTTATCCCTTCACACTACTGACCAAAGATGGCGCTAATCCACAACGTCGTTCCCTTAAATAAATAACTTTGAATGAGTAGAAGAAGAAAAAGAAGCAGCAAGGGGCAGGCAGCTGGTGACAGCCGAAGTGTACCGTTCCCCCACCCTCCTCAGCACTCTGTTAACTGGATCAAACGGACAAATTGCCGGACAGCTCGATGGAAATACAATAGTAACGTTTGCTGATAGTCGGCGATTACATTTTATAACTTTGAGCGGATAGGACTAGCGTTTGTAGGCGAGTCCAAGTAGTGTTATCGTTGCTGCTTGTGGCAAACTGAGTTAACACTGTTGCTTCGAGTTTTAGCATAGGTAACGTTACCGTTAGCTGTCTAGCAAGCAAAAGCTAAATAACTTCAGTGTTTACGGTCCCATCGGATTGCCAGCTTCGACAGTCTGCCAGGTTATCGCCAAAGCCGTCAGGTTGTCGGCTACTCGGTAAAGATGGGTGACATAAACCCATCGACATCCCATGCATTTCAGTCGGAGGTGAGTGTTTTATATAATTGTTTGACAGTGAGTAGTTTGCAGTCACGGCTAGCGACGTTAGCAAATGTCAACTTATTTGAGGTTGTCACTGTGACTAGCAGCTGCTGATTAGTTAGCGTTAGCTTGCTGCTGCTAATGTTGACATATAATATTAGCCAGTGAAAAAATTTGACAAGTTATACACACCAAACATTCCCGCGGTATTAGAACAAGCTGTCAGCTTTCTATAAATAAAACTTTACATGTCGCATGAAAATGAGTCATTAATGCCACTTTAAACGGTACTTCACGAAATCTGCGAGTTAGCCTTACTGTATGCTTCATGGAGAATAAAACATTCCATCATCATTACGGAGCATGCTAACATTAAAGCTAGCTGACTAACCATCATATTCACGCCATCTGGATTTTTCGCAATGTAACAGCTGGCGGACAATGATGCTTTTGTTGCACTTTGTTATTCCTTGATAGTCTGTAATATGTATTACCGCGCGGCTTCGTTGTTTTGTCCGTTAATTGAACTATAGTGACACTAGCTGGTTAGCAGTAGCTAGTGAGTTATTTGCGGTCTACCGCTAGCCGACCAAGCTAACATTAGCTGTCGTTTTTAGTTGGGTTTGTCGGTGGGGGTTGGCATGAAGGTTCACTTTCATGTCTATAGATAAATATGTGTGTGCGTGGGCGTAGTGAAGCAAACTTTTGCCTGTGTTAGTCGCCGTTTCTCCCACCGTGTACAATAGAGGATGTGTGGCGATCACTCGTTCATATCAACGCCATATCTGGCAGTGCAGGTTTATTGCAGCTAATGCTTCAGTAACATGATTGTGTTTCAGGGTTTCAGTCCGCCGTACAGGAGGAGGAGGACAGTGGAGGATTTTAACAAGTTTTGCACTTTTGTTCTGGCATATGCCGGTTACATCCCATACCCCCAAGAGGTAAGAAAACCAGGCGGTCGGTGGCTGTCCACTCTTCTTCACATCAGCATCTGTCTAGTTCGGCTATAACGGTGTTTCTTAAATGTTTTAATCAGGAGCATCGCCTGTGTTATACATAGTTGCATTATATTTCCGCATGTAAACAAACAACCATACAAAGTAGGAAAATATTTAGTCTTGACCAGCAGAAGTGAAATCTACACAGAATCAAAATGTTTGTAAAAATGATAAATAATCAAGAACCAAAGCCTGTCACTGAGGCTATATGAGTGTGTGTGTGTGTGTGTGTGTGTGTGTGTGTGTGTGTGTGTGTGTGTGTGTGTGTGTGTGTGTGTGTGTGTGGTGGGGGGGGGCGAGACTGTTTTAATCATGAGCTTTATTTTAAAACCGGAGCTGCTCTTTGACAAAACTATTTGGATCAGTTACAGATGATCTTGCATATCCGCATATCCACTGTGGATTAACTTCAAGTAATCTAAACCTGTGGTCTATTTGTCAGTTATAAAATGACTTAATGCAACTGCTGCCACTCATTATTGTTTTTTTTATTATTATTATCTTCTTGAATTTTATTCACTCGCTAAATTGGACATGAGACTTTATCGTCTTCTGCTAATCTTGGGGACCAAAAAGGAGATGGCCAGACAGGGAGATTACTTTAACAGATTCTTTTGGCTTTATAGTTTCTCTGCCTGTGTTTATTTTAGTTTTACACATACTCAACTAAGAACTTTATCTTCTTTTTTTTCTTTTTGCACTTACATGGACTCTTGGCTTAATACATGGGTCTCTTTTGCCCTTGTCGGGTTTTTTTTATATATCTTTTCTTTTTCTTTTCTTTTTTTTATTCTCTCACACATACAGCCATCTGTGATGTTACTATGTACTAGGTTAACTGAATCAGTTGTATGGAAAGTAGCCTTGTTCATGCTGGTCATTCATTCACATTTATATGCATTTAACTTGTTGAAAACATTCATTTTAGTCTAATTACAGTTTGTTTGTTTTTTGTTTTTTAACACATGCTCCTCCACTGTCTAGAACATGGAAGCCATGTCCTGTTATCAAAGGATGTAGAGCTGCATCCTTTGATAACAGTGTATCTTTTGTTACGCAATGGGGGGGGTTGTTGTTTGGTTTTTTTATTCAGACTAGATAAGAAGCACCAGGTGGTAGAGATGTTCCTGTAAAGTGACACACACCCTTGATAGCATCAAATGTTCTGTTATTCTCCACTGCTGCAACTAAAGTAGAGCATTGTTTTTAGTGCTATTTTCTGTAAAACCAAAATAAAATGTGACATCCCTCTCTCTGGTTTATGTGAAGTTACTTTTATCATAACTAACGTTGGATGACTTTGTTTCCTTTTCTTCACCATCAACAGATGACTCGTTCGCTTTCCTTTCAGGGATTTATTTTTATGGTCATGTGATTGCAAATGTATTAATTTTTTACCTGTTAGTAGCCTACTTCATCTCCTTATGTTAGTGAACTAACCCCTGCACTTCCATTTATTATTTTAGGACTCTCCACTGCGTAGTAGCTCAAGCCCCCCAAACAGTACAGGCAGCACAGCCGACAGTGATGGCTGGACCCCAGGACCAGCATCTTCCTGCCCCCAACGCCCCCTGAAGGGCCCCCAGGATAGGAGCAGGAAGCGTCCACAGCCAGGATCCATTCTGTCCAGCCACGCCAAGAAAGATGTAAGATGGATTTATGTCACATCATCAACCTTATATAATCTGACCAGGTAAAAGTTTTGTTATAATTTTCAAATGGATATTAAATTTTCTCCTCTGCAGCACACAATCACTACCCTGCATCCAGATGATCGCAGGAAAGCTGACAAGCTGAAGAAGAAGAAGAGGAGGAAGGAGAGGGAGCATCAGTCTGTTGAAGAACGTGGGGCTCACTTAGCAGTCCCAGAGCTGCAGTGCCCGCTTTCCTTTGGCGGCCGAACAATCAAAGAAGAGCCAGAAGATGACATCAGCATTCCCCTCCACCCCCAGTGCGTGCCTAGCCCGTCCCCTTGCAAAGAGGAACCCAAGGAAGAGCGTCGATACTGGGACGGACGAGACCTTGAGGAAGGGGTGGTAAAGATACAGAAGGTGGAGGGCTTTTCAGGAAACAGAACGGTGTTCCGCCAGGGAAAGCAGGTGGTGTTCCGAGACGAAGATGGCTCAGGGGAGGATGAGGATATAATGGTAGACTCTGGTAAGAGATTTTGGGGTCAGAAATGCTTAAATGTTTTAAAAAACTGATGAATGAATAAAGTGGAAGCTCAGTGTATTCTGTCTCCTTTCTTTTCAGATGATGACTCGTGGGACCTGGTGACATGTTTCTGCATGAAGCCTTTCGCGGGACGCGCCATGATCGAATGTAACAAGTGCAACACCTGGATCCACCTGTCGTGCGCTAAGATCCGCAAGAGTCACGTGCCAGAGACATACGTGTGCCAAAGCTGCCGAGAGACACACGGACCTCCAGACACTCGACGTTCCCACCGCTCGCGTGTAGGCCCACGCAAACACATGCTGGACTGACCCCAGGCCACATCCTGAACTCTGACCCGTACCGCTCCTACTTTAACCCTCTACTGGACTGGCCCCTCCTCCTCAGATTCAGGTCTTGCACCCTTCAGTCTCTCTCCTTCAAGGTTCAACCATGAACCCATATTTTCTACAAACATTTTAGTGGACCTATCCCGAGCCCTTATCCCATTTGAGAACAATTTGAGTGCTATTTTAGATTTACTAAGGTTTGTTTCTGCTTCCTACAGACTCTGCGCGTAAGGCAATCACTGAATGGATGTCTGTCTGTAGATGACATTAGCATAGCAACAAACCGCTACTTTTGGGGCTTGGTGTCTCGTGAACACTGGAAGCATTTTGAACTGCCATATTGAGAGAATTCTCACAACTGCCACCCACTATGGTGCATGCTGGGATTTGTGGGAAAAATGGTTTGCACTTTTTTAAAAAAAAAAAAAAAATCCACCTAACCTTTCTTTCAGAGACGGGTGTGTCTTTCTGATCTGGTTAAACTGGATTTAATTTCTCTATGATGCCTCTATTAATGTTACATAATTAACCATTTAAAACAGGAAAACAAGTTGAGGCTGGTGTCAATTGCTTCAGATGGTGCTATAGTATTAAGCTGAGGTATAATCGAATAGAACAAAGATGTAGGATAAGAGGCTAGAGTCTGCATCTGCATCATCAGTTTGTTGTTCTGCTTTTCTTGTTTAAGACATTTTCAAGAATATCATTGAGGCCATTAGCTCATACAGCTGAACCAAGATCTTGTCTTCCAGATACTGGTATTCCTCCGAATCAACACGTTACTCAGCCATACACAGAAGCTTTCACACTTTGTTTCTCAACGTGTTTAAACAGTGTTCTTCGCTGACCACATTTGTTCCTAATAAAGAAATTGTTATATAACAGTTTAGAAAAAAAGAAAAGTTCGGCAAATGACAAAAGTCAGGTTTTCAGTATATCCTGTTATATCTGGTCAGTATGATTTTAGTTAACCACTTGATGCGCTTGACTAAGTTTTCAGAGACAAATATATTTATAGAAGGGAACCACAGTCCTGTTTGCAGTACTGACAGGTGAAAAAAAGGTATCTGTAACTGGAATGGTGTCAGACCAGAAATCTTCAGTTTTCAATGAAGATTTCCGGTTGAAATTATGCACGCAAGCGTTTAAATAAGGGTGTTGGCGATGCATCTGCTGCTATGAGTTGTCTGAACCAATCTCCATGTTTTTGTTGTTTTTTTTGGGGGGGGGGGGGGGGGGTTTCAAGTCTTTTGCAAAGCATCAAGTAGGGATGCACTGATGTGTCAGCAACACACCGGTACTGGCCCATGTTGGCCCTGTTGAGTTGTTTTTACACTTTTAACTCTGCACAACGTTCTGAGAATCGGGGCTGTTGTCTACACTTGCCGTCTGACATGTAGCATACAGATTTTTTTTTTCTTCTTCCCCTGTTATAACGATTCATTTGTCATCCTGGCCCAAAGTGAGTAATGCTCAGTAGTAGTGATGATGATGATGATGATGATGATGATGATAATAATAATAATAATAATAATAATAATAATAATAATAATAAACATAAAAAAATGGAAGTCAGATTTTTATTCTGTATTGATTCTGAATTTTCAAATCAGTGCACCCCTAGTACCATGGTAGTAGTGGTTTGTCTCTGGAAGGTCAGAGCAGAAGGTCAGATCTCAGTGAGTAATCGCCTCCCGTTAACTTTTGCATTGCAGTATTCGGTTCTATGTGGAGTACCATTGATGGAAAACTTGCTCCCATTTGGATTAAAAAAAACTTTAAGCTTTGTTATTCATGTGCCATCTGCTGTTGGGACTTGTGTGTTTCTGAACATATATATATATATATATATATAAATAAATAAAAAATAAATGCATAAAAGCCATACTGTAGAGTGACAGATTTTAGACTCAGATTCTTGGATACTTGTCTGTGATGGGGTTTTATAATGCAGAATCAAAGAGTTGACCAGGGAACGACTAAAACAGACGAAGAATGTTTGTTTGGGGGGTTTTTTTGTGTAAAGAACAAGAATTTCCAAGAGTTTGAACGATTAAACTCTTCTGTGCACTCTCCTGGTATTTACAAATGTGGGTTAACTGGTTTGTACCCAGCAGTCGCCTAAGTTATGTTTTTAAGACATTTGAAGAACTAAAATCACTTTTGCTGTTTCTCAGGACATGCTTGTCTTGAAGAGAATCTGAAGACGCCTTCAGACACAAGCTCATAATTTTGAGTGTGCGTCTTAAAGACATTAGTGTAAATTAATGTTGGAAGGGGGGGTGGAAAGCTCATTGTGATACAGCTTGTTTAATCTGAACCTGGGTTGTTCTATCCTCTTACTGAGAAAGCGTTTGTTCTGTGGTGCACACTGTTTCTGTGAAACTATTGTAAACTACTGTAAATAAAGAGTTACCATTTTAACTTGATTTTTTTTCTTTTTGGCGGGGTGAGGTATAAAACTTCAGTGTATTCTGTGACTCTGGAGGGTGTAATCAAATGCCAAACATCTTTTAATCATGTTTATTGTCTTTACAGGACACACAAACGGGCTCCTGAAACCATTCATAACATTTAAATACTACGGCCAGTCATTTTGGATGATGGGTTGGAATGTAACAGCAGGGAGCACTCTTTCTGCAGGCCTCAGGGTGGCACCAGAGCAGAGGTGACAGATGACTTGACCAAGAAACCTTTACATCACACTTAAAACAACATAAGACAAATACTACAAACAATTAGTGCAAAATGGACGCTGAAAGAGTAATCCCAACCAAAGAGCAGTATAACAGCTCTCCCTTTCAATACACCAAAATAAACAGGAGCAGGGTGCAACTAATCTTAAAACCTTTGGGACTTTTATGCTACATCACCTACCAGTTTCTCAACAGTTAAGTGTATCATAGGATATTTTGCCTTTCCCTCACCATTAAGAGGAGCAAATAACAGCCAAGGAGAATTGGTGCATGTATGACCACATAAAGTGGCTTCAGAACACATTCGCCTTGCAAGCAAAAGATCCCGGGTTCAGTCCTAAGAGAAGACAAATCCCTTCGGGAATGTGTCGGAATTCCCCGAGGAATTGAGGTGGTGTGAAAATCTGCCAAATTAACTTTGTGGTGCTACCTGCAGTGGCGACGCTTTGTGAATAAGGGAGAAAAATATTATTTTTATCATCTAAACGATAGTAATACAAGCCCTCTGCAACTATAGAGTGGCGTGTCGCTTAAAATGAGTGTGAGTCTGATTTGTTTTCAATGAAAGCTTCAGGGAGAATAGTATTAAATTAAAATATATGACAAACTAACTAAAACACTGTAACACCTAATTTAGACAATATAGCTTTGTGGTTTTGGTGAGGCTACGGTTCAGTTGCCCAAAACCTCTAGAGTCAATGGAAACATGTGCCTCTGTTCTACGGTCTCTCCACCTCAGAGAGCAGCAGAAGGACCCCGACACAAAATAGAGTAGATATTATTGACAACTATATTGCCAAAAGTGTTCACTGACCCACTCAAATCATTGAATTTAGGTGTTCCAATCACTTCCATGACCACAGGCATATAAAATCAAGCACCTAGGCATACAGACTTCTTCTACAAACATTTGTGAAAGTACAGGTCGCTCTCAGAAGCTCAGTGAATTCAAGCGTGGTACTGTCATAGTTGTTATTATAATAAAGTGGAAGCATTTGGCAATGACAGTAACTTGGCCAGAAAGTGGTAGGCTACATAAAAATCACAGATCAGGGTCAGTAGATGCTGAGGTGTGTAGTGCACAGAGACGGCCAACTTTCTGCAGAGTTAATCGCTACAGATCTGCAAATTTCACGACCTTCAGATTAGCTAGAGAATAGTGTGTAGAGAGCTTTACAGATTGCGTTTCCATGGTAGAGCAACTGCATCCAAACCTTACATCACCAAGTACAATACAAACCTTCAGATGCAGTGGTGTATAGTATGTTGCCACTGGACTCTAAAGCAGTGGAGGCGTGTTCTCTGGAATGATGAATCAGGCGTCTCTATGTGGCAATCCACTGGACGAGTCTGAGTTTGGCAGTTGCCAGGAAAACAGTACTTGTCTGACTGCATCAAGCCAAGTGTAAAGTTTGGTGGAGGGCTCTGTGGGAACAGTGTGGGGAGGGGAGGGCAAGGTCCATAAAGACACGGTTGAGCAAGTTTGGTGTGGAAGAACTTGACTGGCCTGCACAGAGTCCTGACCTCAACCTGACGGAACACTTTTGGGATGAATTCGAGCGGAGACTGTGAGCCAGGCCTTTTCATCCAACATCATGTCTGACCTCACAAATGTACAAATTCCCATAAACACACTCTTAAACCTTGTGGAAAGCCTTCCCAGAAGAGTTGAAGCGGTTATAGCTGCAAAGGGTGGACCGACATCATATTAAATTCTGTGGATTAAAAACGGGTTGTTCAAAAGTGTGTGAAGCCAGACAAGCAAATACTTTTGGCAATATAGTGTATAAGAATGATCAATTCAGATCAATACAAACCATGAAGGGTAGAGGTGGATTGTAAAGTGGCTTGCATATGCACAGCCCTATTACAGATATGGCAATTGTGGAGTGTAAAGGGGGAATCATCTGATCTGTGACTGCAGCTGGGCTTGATTTCATAGCCAACGTGTTAAGCTCAATAAATTACATCAGCAGCAAATGAGCTACATGTGGCAAAAGTGCTGATCTTCTCCAATTTACATCCAACCAATTACAAAATAATCCAAATGTTTCAAATCCATGCCAGTATTTTACTGCTACCACTGGATTTGTTCCAGATATACATCAGAGAAGTACAAACTATAACCTTCACTGTATTTAAAGTCCTTATAGAAAATTCTGTTTTGGCTGCAGCTGCACAGTCAATCAATAAACACTGACGCAAATCAAATCCAAGCTGAATTTCTGCCTTTAAATTGCAGTCTAGAATAGATATTAAAAATCAATATGTGGAATTTGAGCTTCTCTCCCTCTCTTCAGTTGGAACTCTACCATTAAAGGGCAACTGCCGCGTTCCCTCCCCGAGCAAGCCCTCCCCTTTCTTCCACATCTCAGCCTTCACAGATACAAGTTCAGAGCACCAGTTAGCACCTGCCGACCGGCACCGCAGTGAGCAGCAGATAGCGGCACTAAAATCATAAATAAATTAGGATGATTTTTTTTGAGCGGATGATGAGAAATTTAAAAAAAAACAAAAACTCGAGTTTAGTCATTCCTCAGTCGTGGCTAGCCTCGGGGTTAGTGAGACGTGATCTGCGACCAGAAACATTTACATGAATTATTGCAATGACTATGCCATACCAATATTAGATCAAAACTATCAATGTGATACACATATAGGACAAAGACTACAATGATATGGGGTAAAGTAGAGCCCCCACTTTTAGCTCATCACTGAGGGAGTGTCAGGCCCTCTTGTGTAGTGCATATATAAATCTATGTTGTAGGTCTGTAGGGTTGTAGGGTCTTCTCCCCTGCAGAAGGCAGGTATTTGAGCAGCTCTCTCAGGTGTGGGGACACAAAGGGCAACACCTTGTCAGTGCTGACTGAATTCTGCTGGCCCACAGGAAAACACGAGTGGAGGAACTATCGGATTTGCTAACGTCACAACAGAAGAAGGCCAGAGGAGAGAGGCCAGCTTATTTTCGATGTGACCCCCTCCATTCTTGGGTTCTTCTGTTCACACAGTCCGTTTGCCTCGTCGTACTCCGACAGCGCTGCCCTCTAGGACTCGGACTCAATTCTGTGAGCTGATGAGACAAAAACACACTAGTAATCTGAACACGGATGCAAGCAGATGCTGTGCTGTTGAATACTATGGTAAATAATGTTACTCCTAATAGTCTCGCATACTAACATTGCTTGGGTATCCGTAGCGACTCTTTGTCTGCAGAGATGACTTGGTGCAAGACACCCCTGAACTGGTAGAGTAATTTTAGGCTCTTCTCTTCGCCTACACAAGGGTCGTAGAAACCGGGCAACCCTGACTGCACACAGAGAAACAGTTTAAAAGAAATGCATGCAGATGTACATCAGATGCAGAAAGAAACTTTCGTTTGGTTTGACGCACCTTAGAGGCCTCAGTGAGGATGAGTTTGGAGTCTTTGACGAGGCACTGTAGAGGCACGGTCACATCGATGACCTTGGCTTTCTCCTGCTTCTGGCTGGTGTCTGACACAAACGTCCCATACCAAGCATTCAGGATGATCAAGCCTAAAAGGTAATATACGTCCATCATGATTGGCTTCACAGCAATGACGTTATGGGAGTCAGACAGACAGGATCTAAAGTTACAGTGCATTATGTAGTGTGACAGCTACTTTGACATGTGTTTCAATTATATGGATGCTTACCAAGTTTTGAGTGGATACAAACTTAAAGAAATATCAGTTTTTCCACACTGTGCAATGATTTTATTGTGTGTGTGTGTATATACTCTCACCCATCTTGGATTCTTCTGCTTCTATGATTCTCCTCACAGACTCCTGCATCAGCAGAACCTGCAGAGGAGCCGAGGGAGAAAAAAAATAGGGAAGGCAGGAGGGGAGAGGGGGGTTAGAAAGAGAGCAAAATCAGGATAGGATTGTAGCGAGCTTTTCTGGCGAGATTCAGTCATGAGTTCATAATGAGGAGAGCTGAACTCAGAAACAATGATCAATTATCCCCCACACACAATAAAGAACTGTGTTTCAGCATGCGAGTACTCACAGCAGACTCTGCCTCCTGCTTCTTCTTGGCGATGTCTGTGGCAGAGCTCTTCCTCTGCAGCTCCAGCTCTCTGAGAGGCACAGAGACAGACAACAATCACCCGCTGGGATTCACATTGGAGGCGTCTGTGATGACAGTGTAAGCATGAAAGAAATCCCTCTAGTATTAACAACACCCGCAATAGAAATGCTGCTCTTTTTTCCCCCCTACAGCAGAGTTGATCACCTTTATCTGATGTGTAAAGTTTGGCCATCATGCTATTCATTAAGTGTAAAAAAAACAAACAAACATAGATCAAATACAGAAAAGTAGAGGAGAACCAGGTGATGATTAATAGAAAATTATCTTTTCTTATTTACGAGTTTTTGAGAACAAGCCTGGAACCAAGAGTTTCTTCTGCTGGGACAATGTGAGATGCTGTTTGAGGCAGAGGACATTTACTCACTGTTCTTTCTGTGCTTGTGTGTACGGGATAACGATCAGCCTGTGGACGGCCATGTAGACCAGCAGAGGTCCCACAGTGGCATAGAAGACGGCGCTGGGCAGCAGTTGATCAGTCAGATGGACTGGGAACAGGTATGTTTGATTTGCACGTGCCAGCCTACATAAGCCCAAATGTAAGCACACTCTTATAAGATAATCATGCAGTGAGGCAAAGACACACAGTAGAGTGAGACCACACTGTAGATGGCCCGTACTTGATCTTGAGTGTAACTCCCTGCGGGACCCCAATGCTGACAGTGGCTGACAGTATACTGTGTCGGCTGATCTTTCTCTCTGCTCCATATTCTACCACAGTGCCAAACCAGCCTGTCCTAGAAACACGGGGATACAAAAGTGAACAGGGAGATAAATGAAACTAGGCAGCTAGTAAAGAGAATAGCATGGCCACAATTGGACTTTTAGAGCTACTATAAGTGGTGATCACTGTTGTGAGAAAACAGCATGTTTAAAATGTTTGCTGTTACATTACTGTGGCGGAGGTGTGGTCCGGGGCGCGGCTGCAGGGGAGGAGTGGGGCAGTGAGCTCAACGGGGCGGTGCTGGTAATAACAGCTGATCGTGATTTTGGGACTGATGGTGGTTTTTCCTTCCCTTTATATAGTGAGGTGGAGAGGAGCGAAGGAGGAGGAGCTGGGGAAACCGACCGCTGTCAAACGGTGTTCAGCTGTCATTGTGTACATTCTCACAATAAACGTGCATCTGAGGCTAAAGACGTGTGTGTGCGTGTATCTGTGCCTGACGTGTGTCACAAGTGGTGCCGAAACCCAGGAGCCTGCCGGTGTGGGGATGTCCGACCCGCAGGCTGTGCCGCCCGCCCAGCCTTTGCAGTTTCTGGCGCAGATGCTGGCGGAGATGGCGAAAATGAACCAGGACCATGCGGCGGCCCAACGGTCTCACCTGGCTGCGCTGCAGGAGCAGACGGACCGGCAGACCCAGGTTCTGGAGCGGCTGGTTGGCGCTGCTGCCCCGCCGAAGCCCCCACCGCTGTCGGTGGCGGTGCCCCGGATCTGGTCCAGTGGACGGGGCCGTGCCAGGCGGCGTTTGTGCAGGTGAAAAAGGCTCTCTGTGGGGAGCCGCTGCTTCACACTCCTAACTTTTCCCTCCCTTTTGTTCTGCAGACTGACGCCTCGAACAGAGGGCTGGGGGCCGTTTTGTCCCAGCAGGTGAGGGGGGCCGACCGTCCCGTTCTTTACATCAGCCGGAAGCTGGCGGAGCGCGAAAGGCGGTACAGCACCGTGGAGAAGGAGTGCTTGGCTATCCGGTGGGCGGTCGACTCCCTTCGCTATTACCTCCTGGGGCGCTCATTCACCCTCTGCTCGGACCACGCCCCGCTGCAGTGGCTTCACCGCATGAAGGATGCCAACGCCCGGATCACTCGGTGGTATCTGGCTTTGCAGCCTTTTAAGTTCAAGGTGGTCCATAGGCCGGGGGCGCAGATGGCGGTGGCCGATTTTCTCTCCCGCTCGCGGGGGGGGGAGTAGGTTCGGCCGGTGGGCTTCCCGGCCTCAGTCGGGCGGTGGGGGTGTGTGGCGGAGGTGTGGTCCGGGGCGCGGCTGCAGGGGAGGAGTGGGGCAGTGAGCTCAACGGGGCGGTGCTGGTAATAACAGCTGATCGTGATTTTGGGACTGATGGTGGTTTTTCCTTCCCTTTATATAGTGAGGTGGAGAGGAGCGAAGGAGGAGGAGCTGGGGAAACCGACCGCTGTCAAACGGTGTTCAGCTGTCATTGTGTACATTCTCACAATAAACGTGCATCTGAGGCTAAAGACGTGTGTGTGCGTGTATCTGTGCCTGACGTGTGTCACAATTACCTTTTAAAATAATGTCTCCATTAATGCAACAACTACAGATCATGTCTTAATCTGTATTAGCTCTGTGAATAAGCTATTGTTATGATATTGAATATGCTAACAAGAAGAAAAAGTAAAATTATATTTCTATAACTTTCATTGTATGTTTGAATAAAACCAAACACAGCATATCAGCATAAACATGCAACTGGGCAATGACCCCAAACACAATATCAGCAAACTATTTTTTGCATGTATAGGACACTTTTTACACACATACTTCACAGATCCTTTAACTTTGGTCTGGTCTTCATCCTGGAACTTGTACTGGTAGCTCATCATCAGGTAGGAGTGTGGCACGCCCAGCTGGACAATGCAGGTTGGAAAGCCAGGAGAACAGCAATAAAGAATAGAAATAATAAGGAAAAAAATGATCAAATTAATAAAAGTAATGACGTAGTACTGCTGCAGCCTTTGTGTGCATGCTTATCTTTGAATGTACCTGCAGAGCTAGAGTAAAGTGGCTGCTCTTGGTGTCTCGGACAAGGCTGGTAGTCATGGCGCTGTTGGGCCCCCAGCGCCACTGAAGATAACCCATGGTGTTCTGATCCAGGTGCCGCGCTGTCATCAGAGAACAACTCGGTCGCAAACCTCGAGGTGAGAACTGTAAACCGCACTGGGCTGTCATGAAACTGAACAGAAAAAAAAAAAAATCATACAGAAAGGAGATGTGAAAGGAGAATGCAGTTTTGCAGTTTGACGCATTATTGACAAAAAGTTGGGTCTTACCACCGTGGTGTGACATTGCGAAACACCTTTAACCCAATAAGAGGTCCCAGTATGTCTCCCGCACCAAACTCCACCTGCAACAAATGCAGATGCAAGTGCACGGAAAGAAGAGATTGTAGAAGGCTACAAAAACTGAACCTACCACCTTACGCATTACATACATCATGTCTGCAAGAATTACCAGCTTGCAGGTGTATGATTCCCAACTAGTTAAAGTGCAAGTTACATCAAAGTTTCCATTTGGTCTTCAACCAAGGAAGATCTGTACAATCACTTCAGCTTAAAGGTGCATGTATTTAAGGTCACAATGACCTTGATCATTGGCCACCAAATTCTACCCAGATTCTCCTCAAATCCAGGTGGACATCTGTGCTACATTTTTAAAAAATTCCTTTAAAGCATTCCTGAGACAATGTGCCCAAACACCTGGATAGACACACAGACTTCCTCAGAGGTATAATGAGATGGATGGACAAGTTCCTACTCATTAAAACAAAACGTTAATGTGCTTCTCTCTGTAAATGTGTCTGCTTGTGCGTACCTCCCCCCAGCCCTTGGCTGACATAACCCTGCGCACGGTCATGTTAATGTTTCCTCCTCCGTTCCCATTATGCGTGGAGAGCGAACCAGACAGCACTGCTGTGTCAGAGTTCGTCAAAGGAGCCTGCAGAAAGACAGACAGCGCAGAATACCGATGTGATCTTGGCTCAGGCTAGCACGTGGGTGGACGGTAATGGCTAAGTGAATGTTTGTTGTACCTCTATAGACTGAGAAATATGCATCTTGTTGATTTCAATATGAGGAAAGCCTCCTCCTGGCATCTCTTCAAAGTCTTCATCATAGCGGTCAAACAGGTCCGTTGCATCCACACCAACGCTGATGGTGCCCTGAATAATGATGCCGTGACAAACAGATTGACAGGATTAATTAAGAAAAAAGGAAAAGAGTGGGAGACATAATGCAATGAACGTGGAAACAGGGCTGTTTCGTGCTGTTATGATGCTGCAAACCTTAGGGTTTGTTCTTTGCTGCAGTCTCCTCTCCTCTCTCTCTCTCTGTAGCCTTTCATATTCCTCTCGAATTTCTGCCGGTGTCCTCTTCCTCTCCACCACCTACACAGAATCACAAAGTGCAGGTGACGCAGACACACCACGTAGCAGCGAAAAACCACTCAAATGCAAGAAAAGTAGATTATGTTTGGAAACATACCTCCCAGCCTTCCACCTCCAGCCCTTTCTTCCCAAAGATGTCATAGATAGCTCTGGAATGAGCATCACTCAGCACTGAGCAGAGGGAAAGCAGATCCCGAAGACAGACAATTCATTTCACAAGTTCAACTATACCTACTAAATGCCTTACAACTATGAGATTCCTCACCTTCATAAGCTTGGTGAACCTGGTTGAAAAGTTGCTCAGCTTGTCTTTTCAGCTCTGGGTCTCTGTGTTTGTCTGGATGGTATAGCATACATAGCCTCCGATATGATGCCTTTAGCTCCTCAGCTGTGGCCTGTGGCAGGAGACAGGACAAGAGTCACCCCTGAGAATGAATGGCTGACTAATTAAACTGATTAAAACTGCAACTGTTGGGTATTTTTGCCTGAAAATAATTGCCACAACCTCCTGAATTAATGTCTGTTCAATCAATTAACTGACTAATCAGTTAATTGAGAGCTGAAACACCACTGCTGCATTAGTGCGTCCAAATTCAAGAGTGAAAAACAGTCAGCAGGCGTTTACATTAAAAAGCCATTAACAAAAAGCGTAATAATGCACTACGCGTTAAGCTAAGGAGTCTGCCCCTGTGTACCTAATGCTATCTAATGTTACTTAGATGAGCAACTACAATCCACACAGCTCATATTCGCCCCAGTTTTTAGGAAAACTCAGATTTCAGAGGATGTTCTTCAAGACGATCGTAGCATTTCTGCCAGCGCCTACTTCCATGTAAAGTAGATTAGACAGCCTGCCGGACATGCATCTGCGGCATTGACCGGTCTCAACCTCTAACGACGATGGTGCCGACTGAGAGAAGCGTTATTCGGTTGGAGGATGAGAGCACACGGGCTGCAGAAGGCTTTCTCATTAAAACCCAACACAGAGGTCACAGCAAAAAGTCCGCTGACGTCGGACATCACTGATAAACACGAAGCTAACCTTACCTCTTTCCTAACGTTGAGCAGTGAATAGAAGTCCTGATTGTTAGACTCAATATCATCATCTAAGGGAGCCGCCATGTTTGCGTTTGGCCCGGTTCGGTCCCGCCCACTCGTTCAGTGTTCTGGGAGCTCATTGGTCAGTCACAGGAGGAGCCGCTGTCTTTCTGTCGTCCTCTGCTGGCTGTATACATACAAGGAGAAAAGGGCTTTTTATAAAATGTATGTTGTCAGTTTATGACTTTTTTTGTCATCCTTCAGTTTGAATGTGCGCCAAACACTCAACTGTGATTGGCTATGACAGATTTCGGGGTGTTTAACAAATTATGTACTATCGAAAAAGAAGTACAGTGGAAGAAATAATAAATAAACAAATAAGTAAATAAAATCTTGTTACTGGCATTGGTTCTTGGCCTTCTAGTAATTTAAACATTTCACAATCTGTGCATCGCTAATAATAGCCTCTTTGAGTCTACTACTTCCTTTCCTTGAACATTTCATTTTGCAGCCTTATATTTCTACACTATATTTAGAAGGAGAACTGAGTACTATGTACTCCACTACATTTATCCTTAGATAAAAGACCAGAATCAGATTTTACAACCAAATCACTGTTGATACCCTCAGAGCTCAATGACTACAGGCTAGTTGCCAACTAAGACATGGGTGAAGACATCTCTTGACCCTCTGCAGTTTGAATACAGATTAAATCTGCAGTCATCTACATACTACAGAGAGCGACATGGTGAAGATCACCCTCTTTGATTTCCATAGTGCATATAACATGATTCAGCCGCTGCTGCTGAGAAAGAAACTACAGGAAATGTCAGTAAATGCACACATTCAACAACTCATGAATTACTGACAACCAAAAAGACCAGCTGCAGTATGTGAAAATGTGCAGTGCTCTTTGAGATCAGGTGATATGCGGTACAGGAGCTCCACAAGGGACAGTGCTGTCTTCATTCCTGTTCACCTTGTACACCTCAGACTCTCAGCACAACTCCAGGTCATGCCACCTACAGAAATACTCTGACAGTTCTGCAGTGGTTGGATGTATTAGTGATGGGCAGGACGAGGTTTGCAGAGCGCTAGTGGACGGTTTTGTAGAGTGGTCTAACAGGAATCCTCTGTTTCTGAATGTTAATAGCTCAGAAGAGAGATGGTGATCAATTTAAGAAGGAAACAGACAGTTACACGACCCGTGTGGGACAGGATGTTCATGTGGAGGAGTACAAGTACCTGGGCACCTGCATTGACAAAAAGCTCAAATGGAAAGTCAACACAGACTGTTCAGGCTCTGTTTTGCTAAGGAAGCTGAGATCCTTCAATGTGTGCAGCAAAATCTTGGAGTTTTTTCTCACTCAGTTGTGGTGAGCACAGCGTGCTGCTGCAGGATGAGAAGCATCAGAGCTGGTGACACGGATAGACTGTATAATTGTTTAGGAAAGCTGGCTCTGTTATTGTCTGCAACCCGGAATATTTTTGAAGCTAAAATCACAGAAAAACCATAACCACCCTCTGCACCACTCACTAGACAGGCAACAGAGCAACATCCTTAACCGAATGATTCAGCTGCCAGAAAGACCACACATTATTATTATTATTATTATTATTATTATTATTATTATTATTATTATTATTATTATTATTATTATTATTATTATTGATCAACTGGCCATGTAACAGACTGGCTACCTGTTCTGGCTGTGAATTTCAACTGTTGCAATAAAAGAATTTCCCAAATATGGGATAACCTATTTCTCATCTCATTTATAGAAGTGCGTATACACTTCCACATACCAATTAAAACATATATAAAACATTTACCCCCTGGATTAGCTCATGTTAATAAGTGAGTATATATTAACATGAAACAGGTGATATTACATGAAAAAAACCTAAGACCATCATGTGATTCACTCTCTAAACCAGGGCTGACAAATTCATTTTACTTCATGTCAGCCCAGTTTGATCTTAAGGAGGCTGGGACTACCAAAACCTTTGCATAATAACATATGAAAAAACAAACACCCCAGTTAATTTCTCTACAAAACACTTTGAAAACATTTCTTTCTAAAAGTCGCATTTAACCAGCCATTGCTTTACAAAAAAGGTGAAAAGTCTGAAATTTCTTAAGAAAAGTAAGTCTGACATGGTCATTACACCGTCATTGCATGTGCATTACAATTTAAAGATCATAGTGAGGCTATAAACTCACAAAACCTCCACATGTGGAGTTTTTGTGGGGAAATAAAAGTTTTTTGTGAGTGTTTTATGTCTTTATGATCCAAACAACCTACCGGGATCTAACATTTGTTATTTTCTGTACATTTTCACTCTTGTATAATAACGCTGGCATCACACCAGGAACAATATAAATCTCTCATGAAAGAAAAAAACACATTGAGTTAATAATGACTTGATCACACTTTGCAAAGTCATCCAGTGGGCCAATTGGACCCTCTAGTGGGCCGCTTCCAGGCCCCAGGCCATATGTTTGACACCCCTGTTCTTCACCATAACACTGGACAAGTGCCAGTGATTACTCATGTATCCAGTACTCTTGAAGTACTATATATTTTTGATTAAAAAGTAACCTCATCTTTGGCTGAATAGAAAGTGCCATACTGTGTTGGTATGAACAGTGAGCTCCACCCTGACATAAATAACATAAATGCAACATTAAACATTTGCTTTCTTTCTTATTACACCGCTACACGTTTGTCGTTGTCGTTCACCATCTCTGAATTCCGCTGATCTCGAGTACCTAGTGTGTCTCTGCACCCCGAGGCTGCGCAAAGCACACGTAGCCGAGGACGAACCATTCAAAACCTCTGTTTTCCGTGAAGCGTGTCTGTGGAGAGGATTGTCTCTGTCAAACACAAGGCTTTGGTGCAAAGGCGATATTCTACCCCGAGGCACAGAGTGACAGTGTGGGCTGGAAACGAGAACATAATGATCCCAGTTAAGCCCTACTATTTAGAAAAGGATAGCATCGCATAAAACGGCAGAATTATAAATAGCCTGTCAGTGAGGATATTGTGATAGGCTCGTTATAAACTAAACTTTACGCAAAGATATCAGCAGCGACATTTCATCCCGCACGCTGAGCAGGAGGACGAGTATGGAGGAGGGCATGTTTTTTTTTCCTTCCCCCCCACAAGTTTTCATCTGACCTGCCATGGCTCCCATTTAATAACATGGCTCAAAGAAAGCAGGTAGTGAGTGCACGCAGCTCTGTGTAGGCGCGTGTGGAGCTGTCCTTTCAGCACCGCGAGCTTCAGCACCACGGCGAATGACAGCACCCGGCAGCCCACGCGCGTCAAAAAACTCTCTTTCAGGCAGTTCTTTTCATTTAGATTCAAGAGGGGTTCATAATTTATGGCGAGACGCGACCTTACATCGCATTTTCTCAACAGTCCACTGGGTTTGCGTGTGAAGAAATGAGCGCGCGCTCGCTAGCGAGAGTTTCTGTGCGCGCGTAACGTATATGTGTGTAGGCCTGTTGTGCGCGTGCGAGTGTGTGTGTGCGCGTGTGAGGGAGAGAAGATGATGATGAGCATGATGATGATGCTGTGGGAGGCTGTCAAGGTGTCCTCGAATACAGACGTCGTTCAGTGACGTGAGAGGGGTAAGAGGGAGAGAGAGAGAGAGAAAGAGTGCGCGTGAACGGCGAGGAGGGGGCGTGGTCAAGGGGAACAAGCGGAGGGATGGTGAATTCCGCGAGTCACCATCACGGATCCCCGCTGTCAGTCCTCTCTGTTTGGACCAATAGCCGCGCTGAACGCGGCAGGCTCACCCTCCCCACCCCTTCTTCTCAGCCCCGCCCCCCTCCTTGAGCTGTCCTCCTTGTGCACGCGCGTGGTCCTCCCCCCCACCTCCCTCACCGGCACCACCACCATCACCACCCCCCCCTCCCACTACCACTAGGTCGAGTCGAGGAGGAGGAGGAGGAGGAGGAAGAGGAGGAGGAGGAGGGATGAGGCGCGCGGCGGAGGGGAAATGGCTGCCGAAAACAAGCCGGAAGGTAAGAGAGAAATAACGGTTTTTATTTAAGGTGCCGGAGTCCCGCTCTTCGGGTTTCATGCGAGGCTATGAAGGGACGGAGGGATAGAGGAGGGCAGAGATAGCGGCGGGGCTTTCCCTCTCCTTAAGCCCGTCCCGAAAACACCGAGGCTGGTGCTGAACCAGCGACTGTGTGGAGCACGGTTAACCGAAAGCAAATAAATAACAGGAGGAGAGTTGTCCTGTCGGTGGGCTCTGGCTGATTCGGGATACGGTAGTTTTTCACCGTCCGATGCTTGCCAGCGTTTCCCCCTCGAGTAGCTGGCTTATGAATGCTTTTTAAGCATTTAGCATTAAGGGGATGGAGGATGAGAGGAAAAGAGAAGAGTGGTTCACGCTGAAGGAATTCAGATGCTGCTCTGTGTGTGTGTGTGTGTGTCCGTGTCTCTCTTTAAGCATAAAGTAGACCACTGAATTGCTAATTTCTTTCCTGACAGGCACGCAACCTCCTCGACCAGCTGTGTATTTATTTAATCACAATCGGTGTGTGTTTCGGTGTGTGTGTGTGTGTGTGTTTTGTCCCTTCAGTGTTAATGTGTCCTTATGGTTGCTAAGGCGCTGAAGGTGAGAATTTGGCTGCATATAGGTTTGGGAGGGGTTGGTGTGTATGTGTGTCAGTTTTAGGTCATAATGATTCCAGCCCCCCCCCCCCCCCCATTTGTGGTCGTTGTTTGTTTGTGTTTTTACTCCCTTAAGTAAACTCTTGAGGTCGTTATCATCTCTCACACACAGTCACCATTTCATTCAGACTACTATTTATTCATTCATGAATTATTTAAGGGTTGCAATGTTATCTCTGTGTCAACTTGTGAGTTTCTTTACTCGTGGTGTTTGACATTTCTTTATAAATACCCCCTGGTTGTTACTCTGTTGACAGCGCCTCTTTCGTTTTGTGTCTTTAAAGCACTGCTGATGCCACGAAGGGTTAAATTTACAAAAGAGGGCAGCAAACTTAGCAGCAGACTGTGTTGTAAATGATCAATGGCTCTCTAAACGGGGTCTGTCCCCCTCAGGTGTCCCAAATTAATTTATAGTAGATCATAAAATTGTGTTGTTTCATTAAAAAGTGGATATATATATATACACAGA